GCAATTTAATGACTAATTACTTTCATTAGAATCAATAAATAAATATTAGCTTTGTATCGAAACATATAACAAAATTTTCACTTTCATTTTTTATTAATTTCTTTTTTTTTTCTCTGAAATTTTAAAAATATTATATCTATATCTATACATCTATATATATTTTGCATTACATATGTTATATATTATTATTATTATTATTATTATTATTATTATTATTATTATTAAGTTGTATATATTATATTATTTTACCTAAAAAAAAACTCATATATTTTTTTTATTATTATTAAAACTAGGGTTTGTTCATTTTTATAAAATACCACACAAAACTTTAAGCATTTTTTCAATAATATATATATTACTTTTGGCGGATTATCTATTGAGATTATCTATCGTGTCTACATGTCGTTTCTTTCTATCTCATATTTCATGTTATTTTTTTAAGAAAAAAGAATTATACGCATTATCTTATTTTAAATTTTAAATTTATAACTTTTTAAGTTTTAACTAGTCTAATTAGTTATTTTAATTTTATCTATAAATATCTATATTATAAAATAATTATTTTTACAAATATATTTTTAATTACTTATTAATTATATTTTTTTCTAAATTCCCATAACTACGGTAACTCCGGACACAATAGTTGAAACATAGAGAATACTATTTATCACACAATTTTTTTAAAAAATAACCAAAATAAATATTTTAATAACATTTTCATATTTTAACTAACTATAGAAACCTCAAAACTTTTAAACTTGCATGTGTTTTATTTTTATTTTAAATAAAAAATTTAGTATTTAGTCCACATGATTTAAAATAAATATATATTACTCTCCCCGTCTCAATACAATAACCCTATTTACTATTTTTGTCCGTTCCAAAATAACAGTCTTATTTTCATAAATAACCATATCATTATAAAAGTACTCTTACTTTTTTATTATTATTACACAATTGCTACTACTTTTTACACTAATACTCTCACAAGGACAAAAAAGTCTTTTATCCATATTTTTAACTCACTATCAATATAATATCAATATTATTTAAATTTCGTGTCCAACACAACCAAGACTATAATTTTGAAACAGATAGAGTATTATATATCATAAAATATTTTATTAAAATATTATTTAAACGAAAATAATTTCAAATCAAAACCAAACCAATCCATATAAACTAGATTTGACAAAGGGCCAAATAAATGGATTGGGTTAAATAAATGAAGTGACCATTTTGTCGATTGAATTAGGGTGCGTTTGTTTGGGAATTAGATTTTAAATACACTATTTATCCTTTTTTTTTTTTCAAAAATATCAAATCAAACATCTATTTTTTATTTTTTATATTATACTTAAAAATAAATTTTATATTCAAAACATCACATCAACACCTATTTATATCACATCTACAGCTATTCAAATTAAAAAATTTTACTATTCAAATCCCAAATCAAAATTCAAATCCCTAAACAAACACACCCTTAGACAATCCGCAATGGCGCATCTCCTCCTACACGCCACGTCACAATTTAAGAAAAAAAAAATTAAAAATGGATGGATGCTTGACGCTGAGAAGATATTGTTAAAATGCCATATATGATACATGGCATATATGTATATATATATATATGATATGTATTATATATGTTTTATTTTTTGTAATTTATATTGAATTTATTGTTATATTTAAAATTTTGTAATATTTTTATAATTTATAATATTTTGTATTCTACAAAATGATACCAATATTAAATATATTTTATCAATTTAAATTTTAAAGTATATAAATAAAAATATTATATAATTTTATTAAACAAATAAATATTAATAAATTTAATTACTGAATAAAATATAATTATAAATTTTAAAGTAATTAAATAATATAAAATTATATTAAATAATAAATATATTTAGTTTATAGTTAAAAATAATATATATATAATATAATAATAAAAATTTATTAAAAAATTAGGATGAGTATTTTTGTTGCGAATATAAAATAGAAGAGAGCATCTCAACTGACGTGACAGAGAGATGAAGTGATGTGAATAATAAAAAGTAGTAGAGATACCAAAAAGTGGGTATCTCCATTGCGGATGGTCTTAGGGCACCCGCAATGGATTTCTTCTCATTCTCTTTCTTGCGTCACGTCACCTTCTCTCTCCTCCACGTCACAAAGAACTCTAATCATATTTCATATCCATATCAAATAACCTTTTAAAATCTCTATTTTTTCAACCTCATTAAATATTTTATATATTTATAAAATAAAATTATATTTTTTAATCATATTTTATTCTTATAATATTTAATAAAAATAAAATAATTATTTAGTATATAAATAAAATAAATAATAATAATAATTTCACACTTGCATAATAATTAAAGTTCAAACTCAAATTTAATAAAAAAATACATAATATTACATATATTTTTCTAATAAATTAAATAGTCGATTGACCAAACTTATCTTAAATATGTTCAATTAAATCCGCTTTGAATTAATGGTGTGTTTCCTTAGCTCGAAGTCGCATTCTATTCTGTAGGCAGGGACGGATATAGTATTAGGCAAGGTGGATCAATTGATCCACCAAAAAAAATTAAAAATAATACTAATTATCACTAAATTACAAATATATCCTTAAATATTAGTTCTATTTTTATTAATGAATCAATTTTGATATTCGACAAGATCCATCAAAAGAATTATTGATGTCTTACTTTTTTTCCCTCCAATCGACTTTCCTCTTTTAATAAAAAGATATTACAACTACTTACATAATTATATTCTACAGAATTGTCAGAAACAAAATTGATGATTTTCTAATTATTATTAGGTAATTTCATTATTGATGTTTAATGTGATGAAATATTTTGGAATTTCGAGCATTTAAATAAACTTTCTATGAAACTTGTTGAGACAAATAAAAATAGCAACTGCAAACGTGGAAAGACTATTTTCAACTATAACTATCATAAAAAAAAATTACGGAATAGCATGGAAAAGTAATTATTAAATGATTGTTTCGTTACTTTTTTAGAAAAAGATGTGTTTACAAAAAAGTTAGTATAGATGTTATTGTCAGCTGATACCAAAATATAAGATCTCTTCGTGAACACTTATAACTATTTTGATGTATAAGTGATTGTTAATTTCAAATTTCGTATATTTCTAATGTAAATTTTTGTTAATATATTTATTTATTTTAATTTTAATTTAATTATATTAATTTATCGACCCACTAAATTCAAAATCTATATCCGCCACTGTCTGTAGGTATTGCTCCATAGTTGCATGTCTTGTATTGTTATATGACCAATTCGAGTTAGCACTTGTCTCCACTTGATCATATTGAGATATATCGTAATAATGCATGTAAGTGTCTCTTTCATCTTGTACAATCATATTATGCAATATGATGCATGCTTTCATTATTTTACCTAGTAAATTGATATCCCAAATAAGTGATGAAGTTTTGATGAAGGCAAACCAAGCTTGTAATACACCAAAGACACGCTCCATATTTTTTCGAACCGCTTGTTGATGTTGCGCAAATAGTTGTGCTTTATAACATTGAGCCAGACGAATTGATTAAGCAAAAGTAAGAATATATTTAAATTTATGAATGTTTTCATGTATTTTTATTTTATTTTTGTTTGTATTATGTGTAATTTTAATTAAGTTATATATTTAATAAAAATATATATTTTTAATCAATAATTATAATTAAATTAATAGTAGATACTCCCTCGGTCCCACCAGAATTGACATTATTTTCATTTTTGTATGTTCCAATTGACACATTTCTATTTTTGGTAAAAATTATTAAATCAAAACATATTTAATAAATATAAATAATTTAATTAACTACATAACATACAACATCAATAAATGATATAGGACACTCAAAACCCCTTAATTTCTGCATCTCTCATTAAAAAAATAAATATTTTTATTTATAGTTAAAACTACATATCTTTTATAAAATTGGTTTATATTAATTATAAATAAACAAAAATATTTTTTTATTTACTTGTATTATAAAAAATTTTATTCTCTACAAAATGATATTCATATTGCATATATTTTTTAATTGCTATATAATTTTTAAATATTTAAACATATATTTTAATTTTTTTAATCATATATGTTAAATTTACTTTAAAAATATAAATATTATTAATTATACAAAAAAAAATATAATAATATCATAACTAATTATTATTAACTAATTAAACATCCCACCTTAAATACCAGTGTTCTAATCAAATGGTTCAATACCGATGGGACGGAGGGAGTGTTAGATTAAATGTTTTATAAAATATTCATTAAAAACTTTTTAAAATAAAAATAAGAAAAAATTTAAATTTTCTATTATTACAAATATTAAATAAAATTTATATAATAAATTTAAATATAATCTTTAAATCAAATAAATTAATAAAAATATGATATATATATATATATATTTAAATATAATATTTTAAAATAGGAGGCACTAAGTTGGAAGCGCCTCCCTCCCATTGCGGATGGTCTCAGTGGATTGCCAAACTGAATTTGGATTGACCAATTTCAACCCTAGAATCCTTAAAAACGAATTAGTACCACTAATTTATTATTCTTAAAAATTCAGGTAATGTAGTCCTACAAAAATTCATTTCACATTATATGGTATATCATTTTTCGATATGTCAATACCATACTTAAAAGTAATAATATACCAAATTTTATATCAATACAATACAAGCAATTTCCGCATTCTTTTGCCACATAATTCTGAAAATCAAATTTTATGAACAAAAGTGATGTGATTCGAATGCAAGTAAGTACAGGAAATTGGTGATTTCTTTTAAAAAGAAGAAAAAAAAAACATCACAGAATTCATCACATAAGTCGTAATTCTAATATTGTCGTTTAGTGAGTGGTGTATGTATATATATATATATAAAAGCTTTATTATGCAGCAAATTCTTTTATGATTATTCATTCACTAGATTTATACTGTAGTAAAAAAGCCAAACAACTTCAGATGTATATACGTATGCATGCATGTATATCTCATATGATATATTCTCAGTAACTAACTGCAGAATCTGCATCAGTCTTTGTTTCTGCCTTTCTAGACCAAAATTTGATCATCATGACTCACTTACCTTGCTCAATGAATTTTTACATGCATTGAAATCAAGAAATTAGTTAATTAACTACCGTCCTAATAATAATAATAATAATAATCAGTAATTAATTCAATGTAAAACACCGTACAAGTTTTTATATAATTAGTACCTCCTTCCGGCTCTTCTAGCCATCCAAATATTCCAAAGCCACTTGCTCGTTGGAATACCCTTATAAAGGATATAAGGATTCTATTAAATCAAATATAAAATAATTTGATCAAATTTATTATATACATACAATCATAATCATAATGATATCACATGCATATCAATACCTGCGCTACCCAGTTTCTATTAAGCAGCCATACCTATTTCTTCCTGCAAATTAAAATCATTTAACTTTCTTCTCTTTTTTCCGTGTGTTTTTTAAGAACAATGAAGTCTATTACCATAAATAAGAAATACCTTTTGGCTTTTATTTGCTTTATACTTTTTTTCCAAGAGTCCACCTCCTTCAAGTCATCATCGTCCACTCGTAGCCTCCTCTTTAGATGACCTGCACGATGCAACTGCAACAATCCAATTGTTATTTTATTGTAATTCTAAGGTACCTAGGAAAATAAGGTAAAGTAAATTAAACGAACACTACCAAAAAAACTGTTTTCTATTACGGCCGGAAAATCGTAACAAAAAGCCATATTTCGTGCAATTTGCGTATTTGCTACGCCTTTGTTACGACTTTTTTCCGTAATGTGTACTCGCGTAACGAATGTTTTTTGCCACGCCACTTTTCGTAACTATTACGATCGGTCAACGCTCCCTGAAGTATGGTATTTGTTACGATGTTTGTTACGAATTTTCTCTCGTAACGAAAGGTAGATCCTTCCGCGCGTGTGGCAGGACTTTTAGTTACGGTATTTGTTACGGAAGTTCCTCGCGTTACAAGTGTTTTCCATTGACCGGTTGTCAGAACTTGGTTTTTGTTACGACTATTTGTAACGGCATTGAACCCCGTAAAAAAAATATTACCTACTTATAGTCACGAAACCGTCTGTAACAACAAATATCCAAAGACCACTTTTTGTAACGATTTTCTGGCCTTTTGTTACGGAAAAATAGCGTATTGTGAAAAACAGGGGGTACGCTGCAATTGAAATTGTTCGTAACAAATGGACCTGCTGTGATGCGTATGATACGAAAATAAATTACGAATACAAAGATTGCTATAAACATCATCATCATTACGCCCCGCGCAAACATTAATTCATATTAAAATCTGAATTCCATACCTACAAACAAAGTAAAGCAACCCATAGAACAAGCCTACTAGTATCTACACATCAACAACCTGTTCCGCAAAACGTGCTTAACAGTTCAAACACAAGTAAACAACGCAATAAGCAAATACGGTTATCCATCAATCCCATTAGGCACATTTTTCACCATACGAATTCAAACCACAAAGGTCTACGCATCAATTCCAGACATAGTTCAACAAAAACTCAAGACAATCCATCCAAAGACAGGTTCGACATTCAATCCATATGACAAACGGGGCAATTAACATGGGTGTATCGGTACCAACATTTCAAGCCCGGCGCATGAGCTGCAATTGCCAACACAGAGATTACTTTAAGTCATACTTCTTATAAATTTCGGAAGGCAATACAAGAAAGGTATTAAAGTAGATCCTTACGTCCTTGTAGCTCCACTCAATAGGATCTTCGCCGACGACATCGCGAAGGGTAGTCGCCCCAGAAATGGTCGGCAAAATAAGGGGTGTGTCCGGGACTGACGCGGATGTCACGAAGACCTTGACCAAGGAAAGTGTGTCACCTACAGCATTCACAAGAGCAATTTTTGATTACATTCAAGCATATATATCAACAGACGTTCGAACTGTATATATAACATGTCATAACACAGACATTATAAGTGTAATACTTTGGAACTAGAACAAGAGGAGTACGTACATTCAGACATGTCGTACAGTACATGGTATTACATTCATGAGTTAGGTAGCGAAGCACATTATACCCTAATTTCCTATGTAATTGCAGCTTGATCTTTAAACCAAACATCCTTCAATAAACATAGGTCGTCATAATAGCAGTTATTTTACCACCCCTACATTAACAGTCTACATCGCTTTGGAAATCCACGGATCGTATCATTGTATACTTCTACACTTAGTGAATCCATGCTAATACGCAATATGAGGCCTGAACAGTCACGAAAACCTACGATATCTCGCTGAGGCATATTAAAAGTTTAATTAAACATCCTCAAAGATACCGGACCAACCTGGCCCAGGGGGGCAGAGCAGAAGTCCCTCTGCAACAACTTTTTTCTCACCGGTGCGGGATAATAGAAGCACATGTGTGCCGACCTACAACAGACAGGGCATATGAGTTGGATAAGGTAGTACGCAGTCAAGAGTAGCCTAAATTAGACACTGCACTGATTTCTAAGAAACTCCAGGGCGTCACGGAATCATACCGTCATGCTTGGCTCGGACACAGGCCTGGGAATCTCAGGGACTGAATCAATACGAGATGTGCCCTATCATATAACATGCCGAGGATGGTAAATTCCTTCGCCATCCAAATCTCATGTGATACTCATACCAAACAGGTCAGGGATTATGAATACTTACTGCCTGGCCAGTAACCGCTCCGGAGTTTCTGTGCATGAATGCATACACATCAGCCTTGATGGTTTTGAACTCATCCATCATTGCCTTCAGCTCCTCCATTCCATTCTGTAGTTGTTCCCACCCATGCTGGAATGCTACACTGTCTGTTAAACCAGTTGACTCGCTGCGGGGATGAGCTGAACTTGCCGCACTGTCGACCTTTGACCGCTTCTTAATCTTTCCCCCAAGGGCCCGTCGGTACAGAGTCTCCCGAACAGAGGGAGTCCGCCCTTCAGGGGGAACCTTGTTTAGCTCATTCTGTAAATAAGTCTACAAGAAAGATTTAAGTGAGGCCGAACTTGCTCTTGTTGTTAGAGATGTAAATACTGACTGAATTGTAACTAAGTTGGGAACGAATTTATTCTACCAATATCTCCTCGGTTTCTTGGTCATCCTTTCCCTTGCCTTGTGTGCGACTGGAAATCCAAATCTCCAGATTGTCGGGGTCCTTCCCCTTTGCCTTGATCTGCAGCAATACAAGGCCTTCTGTCATCGAAAACATAATGAAATACAGGAGAGGAAAATATGGGGATGGAGCATGACATGACTAATTACTTAATTGTAATAAAAGGTACCTCCTCTGCCAGAGTCGTGAATGACTTCCGCCCAGTACGATGTGGAAAGCTTCTTTTCGCTACGTTCGACGCATTTTTCTTGGATTGAAGCTACGTCAATCAAAGTTATTTAGTTCTCAGTCCATGCCCGTGCAGATTTAACGTATATTAATTTGGCATGTTCCTATGCGTACCTTCACCTTCTCGTCGCGCCAATACTCAACCAACTTCGGCCACTGATCGGGCACAATCCTGCTTGAGGGAACCTTCTTCAGTGCTTCTTCATCGTCCTCGATCGGATTGAAGTAAGTTGATTTGATGCTGTATTTCCAGTGCCTCCAAACTTCCCTTAGGTCAGCCAAGACCACTTTCTCCGCTGAGTCTGGTAATCCGCTGTTACTCTGGAATGCCGTTTCACACGGTTTCCACCAGGTCCGGAGAAGATGGTAGGGCCATATATAAGAATCTATATGAAATAAAAGAACTTTCAATTTAATGAAGTTTGCATCACCTGAACCTCCATCCATGCACCCTGTCTCTTCGTCTCCGGTATCTCAGCGAACGTGGGGTAATGTAGAGGAAGTCGAGCTCCGTTGCGTGCAATGACCCCAATGGCTGTCTTGTACTCGTTTACGTCGGGTCCGACGATGCTTTTACCATCCGGCGATGTGAATACAAGCATCCTGTGATCTTTTCCCCATCCACGCGGCATTCGTGCCGCCCCTCTCCCCTGCTTTTTCTTTGACGAACCAGCTGACACAAACAGGAGATTACATGTTCTAATAAGGATATTACATGCAAAATATGAAGTCACTAAATGTAATCGGTAATCTTTGAAGGCTAATTTCCAAACCGTCGTGCGATGTCATCTCGTCCAATGGTGCCATATTGCCCGCCTCTGTTCCTGTCATCAGAGTGGGGTCGGAGCCTGGCCCTTCATCCAAGAGTGGCATATCACTCTCTGCAGTCTCCATGTCCTGCGTCGGCGGAAGTGTCTCGTCATCTGCTTGTGTGGGGGGGATTGTATCATCGTCATCCTGTGTCAGTGCCGTCGGATCATAAAGTGATGGAACATCCCTATCATCATGTTCCTGTTGGGGTTAACAGTGTCAGCCTATTGTAGTGTTATACTGAGAGTTCAAATAAGGACATGCTTTCGGCAAAGGAACCACATTACCTCCAAAGGGCCCTCTGAATCCTGAAGCACTGCCCTTCGAGTGGAAGATGTTGGCTTCATGCTTTGACCACGAGCATCGCGCTCTTTCTCCCACTCTGATGTGATGGACCGGAGTCGCTGGAGCAGTGGCGAGACCCGAGATCCCTTCCGTTTTGTCACTTTCTTTGTGGGATTGCGGATGGGCGATGGATTCCTGCTTGCGGGATGAGTTGCCTCTAGGGGGCTGTTACGTGCGGATGCCCGGGTAAAACGTCTTGCGGGAGAGACTGCCGGATCCTGTGACCCTCCAACGGCAGCACGTTGAGATTTGCCCATAACCTGCAAGACAGCAGTGTTAGTTGGCAGTATGAAAACGTATATTAGGAGAAAATCAAAACACACTTATCACAACAAAGCTTATGAAGTGACATATTACGAGAAATTCACATAATAGTTACTGCAATTAATCAGGGTAAATTGCTTCAGCATACGCAAACGGGGGTAAAGAGCTTATCCGCGTTGACATATTCGGAAAAAATCATAACATCCTGCGCGCGCATAATGGATGCAAAGTGCTTCAGCAAATCAAGCGAAAACAGGGCCTATGAACGATGGCATGCATGTCCGAAAGTGGTTACCTATTACGTACTTCAATCACCGACCCCCCCTCCCCACATAGATGACCATCTGTTGAGATGTGTAATTTATTCTGAACTGCGAACTCAAAAAGGTTGCGTGGTTGCCAAACCATCAAAAATGGGCCAATTAGGCTATATTCGCATACTACCAAAAATGCCCGCTTATTTGATTCTGCGCTAAGCACCATCATCTTCGGAGGATTCCTCCGAATCCGAAGGCGAAGTATCGGCATGGTCCATCTGCCCTGCATCTTCTACTACTTGCCCCTCAATACCTTCCCTTAGCCAGTAATCGGCTGCTCCTCTAACATTGCCTCCGTCATCTAAAGGTAACCCTGTGCTGAATCTATGATCGATCGTACTATACACGTCATACGTGTCTCGCCGTGACACCGGAACGACAACGCTCCAACCTTCATCAACCGGGTCTGCAATGTACCACACCTGAGAGGCTTGGGTCGCTAAGATGAAAGGCTCATCCGTGGGCAAGTTCTTGGGGTACATCAAATACTTAAAGTTCACACATTTATATTTGAACTCATCCTCTTTAACGCCCCTCTCCAGATCCACCCAGTCACATTTTAAAAGGAGATACTTCTGTTGATTGCTATAGTACACTTCCACAATGTCCGTAAGAATCCCGTAATATGCCACGGAACCTTCTCGTGGGTTATGGTCCCTAGCTGAGGCATAACTCACTGTATCTGCCGTAACCATAACACCTGCACACTGTGTCCTCTTCCTTGCATCCCGGTCTTGAACACGATAGCGTATTCCTGACACAATGCACGAAGAGTACCGTGTTGCATTGCATAATGGTCCACCCGCCAATGCACGGATCTCCGCTGAGATTGGGCACTCATCATTATTCGTCGGATCATCTACCTACATTTGATGTAAAGTAGTTCATGAACACTCGTGATTTCAATGTTTTTTGGGAGTGTAGTCAAGATACCACGTACGGACGATGTAGGCGGTACTCACATATGATTGAAACCAAGACGCAAATTGTTCGTTGTGCTGCTGGTGCACCTCACGTGGGGGTGCGCGAGTTCGACATGACCTAATAGTATCAAGGTGAATCCTACAGTGCAAAAATAAAAGTCGAAGATATTCAACACAGGTCGGATACGCATACAAGTATTGTTAAATTGATGTGAAAAAACCTTCGCAACGGACTGATTTCATCTATATTTCCTAGGATGTAGCAATGAATTTGGTGCATCGTATTGTAATCAAGATTGAACCTAGAACCAAACAATCCTTTCCCGTGTTGTGTCCCGTCCTCCTCCCCTCGAGCAGCCCGGTTCTCTTTGGTCTCTATGTCTCCGAGATATCTTGAGCAGAAAGTCACGCATTCTTCCATGAGGTATCCACGTGCAATCGAACCCTCAGGTTGTGCCCTGTTCCGTACGTACCTCTTCAGAGTACCCAAGTACCGCTCAATGGGATACATCCACCGGTACTGCACCGGACCGGCCACCATAGCCTCCTCAGCCAAATGGATAGGCAGATGCTCCATTACATCAAAGAATGAAGGTGGGAATAGCTTTTCAAGATGGCATAGCGTCAAAGAAATTCTTTCTTGGATTCGCTCCAGTTCACGAACTGTGTTATGAGCTGAGCACATCGAATTGAAGAAGTTACAAAGTTCAATCAACACGAGCACAACATTTTTGGGAAGACACCTACAGGAAGTGTTGAATCAGCACCTTCAGTTATATTTAGAGGAGGCATATATCATGTTAATTAAAATAATTGCGTTTCAAGGGTATACCGTCGGGCAGCAATAGGTAGAATTCGTTGCATAAGAACATGGCAATCGTGGCTCTTAAGTCCCCATATTAGTTGTTGTTCTACCTTCACACGACGCGATAAGTTTGAACTGAACCCATGAGGTGGTCGGAGGTCCTTCAACACAGATAGGAATATCCGTTTTTCGGGGTTACTCATGGTGTACGTAGCTGCCGGCAAATATATAGCGCCCCTAGGACCCGATACCGGGTGTAAAGAACTACGTATTTGCATCAACTGTAAGTCTTTCCTCGTGTTCAGATTGTCCTTTGTTTTCCCCTTAGTTCCCAACAATGTATACAGTACATTCTCACACACATTCTTTTCAATGTGCATCAAGTCGAGGTTGTGACGTACCTCATTCTCAGACCAATAAGGGAGCTGAAAGAATATGCTCTTTTTTTTCCACACCTGTTGCTGCCCGTCCACCCCCCGGCGACGCTTGCGAGACCCCTGTGCAATGCGTTTCTCAATCAAGTCAACCGTACGATACTCAGTAGGCATATCCTGAAGCTGCTGCAGAAGTTCAGCGCCGGTCAAGCGAGAAGGCTTTCCATCAAAGCTCATCGAACCGTCAAATGCATGTTTATCAAAGCGCATTCTATGCCCAGCCGGCAGGAACCGTCGATGCCCGCAATAGCTATACTTATGTCCATTTTTCAGGTATCTGGAATGAGTTTTTAAACCACAAACAGGGCATGCATTCGCCCCACGAGTCGGCCACCCTGACAACATACCGTAACCGGGAAAATCACTAATAGTCCACAGCAATGCAGCTCGCATCTGGAAATCCTCCTTAGTACTCGCATCGTACGTCCGAACACCATCATACCAAAGCTCCTTAAGCTCATCGATCAAAGGTTGAAGGAAGACATCAATCCGATCCCCCGGGCCATGCGGGCCGTCTATAATCGTAGAGAGGATGAACGATGGTTGCTTCATGCACAGCCACGGAGGTAGGTTATATATCACAAGTACGACGGGCCAAATACTATAACTCACACTCATATTCCCAAAAGGGTTGAAACCGTCAGTGGCCAGACCGAGGCGTACGTTGCGAATCTCCTCAGAGAACGTCGGGTACCGATGATCGAAACTCTTCCACGCAGGACTATCTGCTGGATGACGCATCTTGCCATCGTCTACACGCCCTTCGGCATGCCATCTCATAGAAGATGCAGTTTTGGAAGATACGTACCATCGCTGCAATCGCGGAATTAATGGAAAGTACCTTAACTTCTTCACTGGAGATCTATCTTTACCCTGTGTAAATCGCTTTTCCCCACACACAACACAAACCTCACGGTCAACATCTTCCCCGGTAAACAACATGCAATTGTTGATGCACGCATGGATAGTCTTGCATGTGAACCCCAAGTCCTTGGTCAGCTTATTAGCCTCATAGAAGTTCTTCGGAAGGACAACATCGTCTGGAAGTGCATCCCGTAACAGCTCTAACAGCAAATCAATAGAATTATTAGACCAGTGGCACAAAACCTTCAAGTGCAAAAGCCGTGCGATAAACGAGAGTCTACTCATCTTCTTGCACCCTGGTATGAGCTCTTTCTCTACATCTTCTAACATCTTTCTATACCCCTTACTGCCATGATGTATATGTTCATTTTCGTCATCCCTATGAGGTTCATTTCCACTGGGCCCCGGATCGGTGTGCTCTGTATATGCACACTCTCGCAATAGAAGTTCTAGTTCCTCCTCCCAACGCATTGGCATATTGTCGTTTGCAACAGCAGGGTTCACCTCTCCTTCTCCGTGGCAAGTCCAAACCTTGTAGGTTTGGTCGAATCCATAACGAATACAATGGAGCAAGACATCTCTACGAGATTTTGTTAAGCGATTTCCGCAAGATGTACAGGGGCAATAGATGCAAGATTCAGAGCTACGATCTTTAAATGCGAAATCTAAGAAAGCCCTGACCCCGTCCAAATATTGAGCGGAGATATGGTTCGCATCGTCTATCCAACTCCTATCCATCTAGCAATATAATATACATGCGATTCCATCAACAAAACATGCAACCAAAAACATATAAGTACAACATAACCTTCACCGATATAATAGGAAACATGGATGCTCTTCATGACGCTAGCATTATAATTTATCACAACATTAACGCACATGGACCAAAATCAGCAGCCCTCACCACTTAAAAATCTTCCATAGATGCAATGTAAATAGTATTATATGGATATATTTCCCGTCACAAATGCTGGGCCGTCACAAATAGACACATCAGCAGCAAGAGAGAGTGAGAAAGAAGTGAAAAAGTTTCTGAAATTGACAAGACATGGGGAGTATGGGGGGGACATCCGTGTGTATGCTGCAACCACTATATCTATCTATCTATCTATCTATATGGGACTGGAAGATGGAGATTGAGATGGAAGACGTGTACTATAAGAATTTTGAGATAGATATACATATATATATATATAGAGGTACAGAAATGGCTCTCTACCCCAATTAGAGGGATACAAATAGGAATAGTACACAGCACCAAAGCCACAAGATTCACTGTATCTGTTTCCACCAAAACTGCATTTGCATCATCTTCTTCTCACATTACTACTCTCGCCCTCATCCTTTACTCTCTACTCTCTACTCCCTACTCTCAATGCAAAGTGTAAATAAGCCCTGGATTTTATCCTTAATTTATAGAAATGCTATAATGAATATATGTATGGGTGACTGTATGTGTATACGCATACTACAAATGCAGGATAACGAAATCTGATAGTAAATTACCTACGATCAGAAAACTGAACTGCAGTTCAAGAAGCATGCAACTTGAGGTATTTCGCAATTCATAAATCTTGTTAAATGCTTCCCAACAGCCGAATTAAGTTTCCTGACGTAATGTATTACTTTGTATTCTGAACAAATTAGCAAGAGGATTGAGCTAATATGTTTTAATCTAACATTTAAGCTACCAGAACAAAGAAATACCTCATAAATTTAACATACAGTAAAGCATTGCACTTGGTGTTTAACTATAAATTAAAGATAAATATCAAAAAAATAAATTCAACCAAAAAAACTCTCCTTCTGGACAAAGGAATACAAATTCACCTCAAATGTTACACACGATAAAGCCCAAACAAATGGAGTTAAAATGTAAGACTATATCCATACCGAGAAAGAGGCGAAGAACTTTGGAGTAATACCAAATCTTTCGGGAGAAAACTTAAAAACCTTACCTAGATGCCGGAGTAGATCCCTCGTTTCCGTTGATTTCACAATGCTCGTCGTCCTGCAGGTTCAGAGGAAGGAAACTCGATCGAGTTTTCTACAAGGGAGAAATGAGATTATGCCCTAATTTGTCGAAGATACCTCGCGTAATACAAAATCTTTTTCGAGCTACCTTCAAAACCTTACCTGGGTGAGGTGCGCCGGAGTAGATCCCAGGGACGGATCGATTTCACCTCGCG